AGTTTTCATTATTATCTTTCAGCATTCTGTAAGTATCCTTTCTGTATTCTTTAGTATATAATTCATTCATATAATATTATAAAGTAATAAATTAGCCTTCTGAGAACATGGAGTCAGATTCATCATTTCTGCCTTCTTCGGGGCACCCCGCAAATGCAATAGGTCACCCTGGGGGCAGGGGTGGCAAACCTCACCCTGCGAGTGTTTCTGTGAGAAACTGTCCTGCAGGCAGGAGGGCAGAGGGAAGCAGAGGCACTCACCAGGGCCCTGCAGGGAACTGTGGCACAGACTGTGCCCACTGGGATCCATCCACTGGGTGAAGGCTGAGGAGGGACTAAAGTAGGAACTGAATGGGCTGGAGGCAGGATGCTCTGGCTCTGGTCATCTAATGGCAGAGGAAAGGAGAAGAAAATAACTACAATAATAATGTTCTACATAAACCATGTGAAAATCCTACACCACTTAACAGAAGACAGCAATGGGAATTTTGGGGGTGATTCAGAAATACTAAAGATTGATTTTGTGGCGGGTGAAGTCAGCCTCCATCTGGGGTTCTTGAGCAAAACATGAGCTCCTAAAAATTGTCCCTTTGCCAAAAGATCCTCACTAAAAAACACCATTCTGGGCACAGATTTCCATGGATTTCCAAACAACACTGTGCTCCCAGAGAATATGGATGATCGGGGCCTGAGCTTTACAGGAGCACAGAACACAACAGCTTGGAAATAGATTTCCCACCCTGGTTTTGTATTCAGACAGCACCGTATCACAATTAGTCATTGTTTCTTTCAGAAAACTCAGGTCAGGAGCCCAAAATACAGATTCTCCTTATCACAGGGACATTGCAAGTCAAGCTCTGGGCTTTTTCTGGCTGCTTTGACCTCCAAGCCTTTCTTTTCACCACTTTTTTTCTGGATTCTGGCTTGCCAGCTGGGATTTTGCAATACTTTCCCTCTCCTCCTTGCAGCTGCTCCTCTCCTCTTCCTGCTCTGGGAGATGCAGCCAAAGTTCTTGGAATAGCCAGCCCCTGGTGAACACTCCTTGACCCTTGGAGGGGAAAAACTTGTAGCCAGGTGGCTTTTGGAAAGTTCATTGAGGGATGCCGCCTCCTCTCTTGGAGGAGAAGTGATTTAGGACAGTGAGTTCCATGCATCTGGAAAAAGGAAAGAGCCAGGAAGGAAGAGGCGACCCCACAAGGCGAGGGCAAGCCAGAAGGAAATGCCTTCTGATGGTGACAGAAATGGGATAGGAGCACCCAGGAGGAAGAACACTGGCACACACACAGCTGAAGGATTGCTCATGCAAAAGGAACTTACAGGGCTGGAAACAAACGTTATTGGAGAAGCCAGGCCAGAACTGTGGAGTTTCCCAGCTATCCCTGTGACAGGACAGTGCCAGGGAGGAGTCTCAGGCCAGGCCAGGCTGGTGCAAACCTCCCAGCAAACCCACCCTGTGCATCCCGACACCATCCAAAACCCCAGCTCTGCCCTTCCCATCTGTGACTCTCTGTTGGACTGGCAGCTGCATCACCCAGCACGTGTGGAAACATCCCCAGGGCCACTGCAGGCACTGCTGGCAGCAGGAACCAGCCCTGGCTGGTTTTTGGGAGCTGACTTTACTGCAGAAAGGGCCCTGGATGTGGCACTCAGTGCCATGGTTTAGTTGATGAGGAGGTGTTGGGTCATAAGTTGATCTTAAAGGTGTTTTCCAACCTGGCTCATTCGGTGATTCTGGGATTCTGGGATTCTCAGGGGCCAGGCTGCAGGAGGGTCAGTGTGAGGTGCGAGCTGCTTTTTCTGCAGTGTGGGCACCATGATCCCCTCCCTCTGTGGCTGTACCCAGCTTAGCCCAGCTCCTGCTGCCCTGGAAGAAATATTCCTTTGCAAATGGATGGCAAGGGAGAAGGTTTTTACAGGCAAACTGCAGTTTGGGACCAGGATCCCACCACGTGCCAGGCTTATGATGCCTCCTGAATTTGACCTTAGGTGATTTCAAAAACATTCTTTTTTCTCAACACCACTTGGCTTTTAAAAAGTAACAACACCAGTTTTACTTTTTAAAATGAGCACAGCTCACCAAGAGCATGGGAAAGGGAACAAACCCACTGTTTCCTGCAATCTAAGCTACCAAATTTAAACTTACCTTTTTTATTTCTGATTCTGAGGCATATTAAGACATTTTGCAGGTGAATATTTTTCGAAGTCACCAGGGAAAACCAAAGCCCAGCAACTTGGCATTTGAGTAAACAATCCAAAATATGAAAATAACAGGAGAAAACTGTGTTTTCTACCCAAATCCCCAAAGAAAACTAAAAATGGGCAGAATAACAAAGGGTGAAAATGATACCATGAACACTGCAGGCACAGCAGAGATAAAAATGCTCAAAGAAGATCCACCACAGGATATACAAAGACAGAAATAAGAAAAACTAAGTTAGGATGTTCCCTTTATTCCTTGACTCTTGCAGAAAAGCTGGGAGCTGTTGAGGAAAGGGAACATCCCCCATTGGACACTCTCTGGGAGGTACTGCAGGATTCAGCTCCTGGAATAGCAGGTGAAAACCTGCTATTGCTGCCAACTCTCATTTTCCAGTGCTTGCAACTGCAAAGAAACCTTCCAAAAGCATTTCGATTTCCCCAGAATTCTGTGTCTGCCTCACTGCCAGTCCAGAAAGAATTAGAAAAACTCAGATTTCTGTTTGTGTGGTCAGACTTGTCTGCAGCAGCCTGTCCTGCCCACAGGCTCTGGGACCCTTCTAGATGAAGAGGATTAAAAAACCAAGGTAGAGTAGCATTATTATTATTATTATTATTATTATTATTATTATTGTTGTTGTTGTTGTTGTTGTTGTTATTGTTTTTTCACTTTATTTCTCTAATTTAATTTCACACTTCCCTTTTGGTTTGTTGGTGTTTTGTGCACTGGAACATTTATAATCAGTCATTATTCTGGTTGATAGAGAATGCACAATCTTTTAGGAGTGATATGACATTTACATTCACTTATGAGTTATTAGATGTCTCCTTAGGAGCAATGAAGAATGTCAGATCCTGACATCTTGTATTTTGCATATTACTAAGGTTCCTTTGGAGCTACTTCCCAGTATTTCACTGCAGACTCACAGAGTGACAGAATCACAGAATGCTTTGGCTTGGAAGGAACCTCAAGGCTCATTCATTCCAACCAGGGAATCTTCCCCTGGAACAGGTTGTTCTTACCCTGGGACAGAGGCAATCCCACCTTCCTAGCATACTAATAATAATAATAATAATAATAATAATAATAATAATTCCAGCATCCATCCCATAATTTACCTTCTGTACAATGGAGATGTAAAATACAGCTCTGTGTCTTTGTTTATGAGAGCAATGTCTTTAAAGTCAAGGATTCTACTCCTGTGAGAAAGAACTACTCAAGGTTGTACAAGCAGATCTTGGATGCATTGTAAAGGAGAATTATAGTGATATTTAACTCTCAGTTATAAGCTGGAGCCTACAGAGTAAAGAAACAGGTACTGTTCTCACTTAATAAAAACTCCTGTCATTCCCAGGCAATGGGGATTAAAATCCTTCTGGGTCCCTGCACCCTGCTGCTCCAACACTGCCCAGCCAGGGACTGCTGCTCACCCAGCCCACCTTGCAGCTCTCAGGGAATTCTGCCATGGGATCAACCCCACACATCCCTGCCTGGCGCTGCACAGAGGCTTTGGGGGGACAGCAGCCATGTCCTGGTGAAAGGAACTGCCCCCATCCCTACAGGATCCAGTAAGGAGGGATTAAGGACAGGGAGAGACACTATTTACAAGAGTAAATGGCACCACAGTGCCAGAGGGTTGGATGGGATATTGGGAAGGAGTTCTTCCCTGTGAGGGTGGGCAGGCCCTGGTACAGGGTGCCCAGAGCAGCTGTGGCTGCCCCTGGATCCCTGGCAGTGCCCAAGGCCAGGCTGGACACTGGGGCTGGAGCAGCCTGGGATGGTGGAAGGTGTCCCTGCCATGGCAGGGATGGCACTGGATGGGCTTTCAACCCAACCCATCCTAGGATTCTGTGATTCCTGCAGACATTTGAACATCTGACCTCTCATCCCAAGTCTGGGAAGTTAAAAGAGTGCTTCTAGATGGCATCTCCCCACAAAGCTTCCTTCTGGGGGAAACTGAGATCTCCATTTAGGCCCCGTGTCCTCTCAGTAGTGCAAAAAGCCTCAGAGAAAACAATCTCCTGCTGTCTACTGAGTGTCTGCCTTCTCCTCAGGGTTAAACTGCACAAAGCTTTCAACAGAGGCAGTTAAACCCCGAGTGGCAAGGAGGAAAAGCACACCCAGACACCATCCACTGTCACTTCATCACCCTGTGCTCCTGCACGAAGGGAGCAGCAGCATTCCCAGCCTGTCTGTGCAGAGCCACTGCTCCAGGCTGAGAGCCAGCTCAGCCCCAGCCCTGCCCATGGAGCCAGCACACAGCAGCACTGCCTTGGTGTGAAAGGACAGGTGTCTGCTAAAGAAGGCAGGAGCCTCCCCTGAAATGGAAAATGTAAACAACTTCCCTCTGAATTATTGTAATTTTGAAATTAAGAGGCTTTCAGGAAACGGTCTGGGAAGAGGAATAACAGTTCTTTATTAGGGAAGAAAATAAAAATAAAATTAAAATGCAGTAATACAAAACAACCCTGCCAGAGTCAGAGCAGGCCCTGTCCCCCTGTGGGTCAGGGTGGTGGCACAGTCCCATCCCATGGGGGCTCAGCCCTCCTGCAGTGCCAGCTGTGCTTCTGCTGGAGCAGGGATCCTGCACAAGGCTGCAGTTTTCCTCTGAAGCTCCAGGGCTGCTGGAGATGGGCCTGCTCTTCCTCTGGCAATGCAGGGCAGGAGAAAGCTGCTCCTCTGGGAATGCAGGGGGCAAAGGCTGCTGTGCTGTTCCAGGCTCAGATTGTATCCAGGTAGGAATGCTTGGCTCCTGCCCTGGCCGGAGCATCTCCCCATGGGATGATGGAATTTGATCAGCCCTGCAGGGACACTCCCTGGCCATGAACAGCAGAGATCTCCTGGAGGGAGGATTGGCTGTGGGAGAGATCAAGAAAACTGCCCCGTGAACAGCAGAGAACTGCCCCAGCTCTGACAGATGGGCACAGAACGCACAGCCCCATTTCCAATCTCAGACAATCTCTCTGACAAAAGTCATTTTTCTCCATCAGACAATGCTCTCCAGCTCTGCTGCTCCGTGTCTTTGATTTGAGGCACTGCTCCCCTCAGAGGAGCACTGGAGCGTCTCTGCTGCAGGCTGGGAGCAGCCTGGGGCTGCATCCATCACAGCACCACAAACAACAGGGGGAACCACGGGCAAACAGAGCCGGGAGTGGGGCAGGGCACAGAGGAGGAGTGTGGGAAATGGATTTGTAGAAAATCAATACTACTTCCATTTCAATTAATAACATAATAACAAATATTAATACTTTCAAACATACAACCGTACAAATCAAAACCACTGTCAATTTACTTTTACTAACATATAAACATAATTACAAAACCTTTATAAAATTATATTATATACGTTTATCTAACCATTCAAAATCCATCCACAAACAACTTCAAAAACTACAAAATTTAACAAACCAAATTAAAACAAACAATAAATCATAATTAAACAACTTATTTAAAAAATAAAATTTTAGACCTTAACTAAAAATATTTACAAAATAAATTTATGTACATTATTATTATAACAATATTAATAAGAATACCTTATATTCTTCACTGTACACAACAATCAATAAACAGAGAAGGAGAAGCAGCTCCAGGAATAATGCTCTTGTCAAGCAGGTCATGTCCAAGTGATCCCTTCCCTGCTATTCAGGTATGGAAAAGGCTTTTCTCCCCCAAATCAGTCTGGCAACAGCTCTCCCTAGTTCTGTACCAAAAGGTGACAGCAGTCTAAGCAGGTAAAAATTTAAACCACTCTTACCAGGTAAAATTTAATTTAGTTGTCCCTCATCCTGCTTCTATTTCCCAAGGCCCTGCAGAGAAGAGGACACACAAACCACAGGGTTTAGAGCCAAGAAAATAGTTATAAATGTTCCCACAAACTTCCCATTAAATTAACTTTGGTCTTTTGGGGAACCCCCCCTTTGGTTGAGGCTTTATTATTTTTATTTTTATTATTTAGAAGCACTTCACAGGCAACTTTATCCAACCAAACAGTACCTCAATATCCACACACAACAGATCTGGAGCCCATAGGTTCAGAGAATACAAAGAGGGTGGGCCATGCAATAGAGGAGCAGAAACAGAAATGGGGACCAGCTATGAGCACTACTTCAAAAGAAAATGAAACTGTTTGAAATAGTTCATTCAAAATAAGGAAAAAAGGTCAAGGATAAGCATTGGTTAAAAAGGAAATAATCTCTGCCAGAGAAGCTGGGGCTGCTCCATCCCTGGAAATGTCCAAGGGCAGGTTGGAAGGGGCTTGGAGCAGCCTGGGATAGTGGAAGGCAGAACAAGGTGGTGTTTGAAGTTACTCCTAATCCAAACCATCCTGGGATTCTCTGATAAGCAAAAAGAAAAAAAAAAAAAAAAAAAGAAAAAAAAAAAAAAAAAAAAAAAAAGTAAACCTTAGGAAATTTTTTGGAATAGTTGACTCCAATGGGAACACACACAGATCAGAACTAGAGAGCAGCTCAGGGTGGTTGAGCAGAGATCTCACTAAAAATTAATTTTAATTCAGATTTAGATTTAGATAGAAACTAAGAGCAAGATTGGAACTTGAGGCAGAAGGATCAACAGCAAATCAATGATCATCCCCCTGCCTGGAGGAGAAGGAGGGGGATGGAACAGAACCCACACCTTGGCATCAGCCCAGCTGAAGATCTGCATTCGTGCAAACCAGGAAACAATCCCGAATTCTAACCAGTTGTTTTTTATCCTTACATTAATACCCAATCTCTGTTCAGGGAGTCACTGCTGTGCCCTGTTTGTTGGTGGGTGATTTTCTCCTTGGAAGCAGCAGAGGCAGCAGCCCTGGCCCCAGTACAAAACTCTGCACAGTTGCTCGGTCACAGGACTGAGTAATAAATTCAGCTCCGGTTTCTTCACCAACTGAGCTTACAATTGTGCTTGAAGACTTTAAGGCGAAAACTTGACACTGTTGGAGTCAGTAGGTGGGGTTTTTTTTCACTGCCTACCCTAATAACCCAGTAACTATTGTAATTATGTATGTATTTACTTATTTATGAGCTAAATGTTGTAGGCAGAGGAGGTCTAAGCCCAGGCTTTCTCCAGAGTTCATTTAGCTGGAGTATCAGCTGTTTATTGCCCACAGAGCTTGGTCAGTCATCTGATTCTACCATCTGATTTGCACCCCCTTTTGTTGCCAGAGATGTCGCAAAACTGTGCAAAATCCCCCAAGATCACACACTGGGTATTGGAGAGCTTCTCCTCCACACACAGCTGCATGTCACTTCTTGTAATTCCCATTAATATTCACACTCCTTTTCTCACAGAACTTTCCACAAACACAATTTCCTTCTATGAATGCTGATGAAGAATGGACAGAATGGATAAGAAAATGCTGGAAAATTTGTTATTTTGATTGGAATGAGTGTTCCCACACATTACTCCATTCATTCAGCACACACTTGCAGAAGTCATGGTTTTTATTATGAATTGGCTTTAGTTTCCTGTATTTACTGAACCCATCTTTGTGCTGAGCACTACAAGCAGCAAAGTCAACACGACACCATTAGCAATAATTACAGCTCAGGTTTGGCACCAAAATCATTCTGACTCTGGCAGCTGCTGCAAAATATGTCAGTCAGAGAGCTTCACCTCCCAGGCACTGCAAGTTCCCTCTCCAAAAGTGCAGCAGGCAAGACCTGATCCCTGCAAAATCCCTGTTCTACATCCCCCTGAATCATCATCACCGGGCCACTTCCAAGCCAGGGGCTCCTCCCAGGTGGCTGAGACACCACCCAAGGCTTCTGAGAGATCGCTCAGGAAGAGAAGAACCTGAGCAGCAGCAAGATTATTACCTTGGAAGGAACTGGAAGGAAGAAATTAGAGGCTAGTTAAAAAAGATCATCAGCACTTCTGGGGTGGGACTAGTCCTGTGCTGGGCAGGCTGGGACACCTGCAGATTCTTCTCAATCATCTGTATAAGAACTAAATTTCAACTATTTTACTCATCCTGGAGAATGCTGAATTACATCGCCTGGGGCTCCATCTCAGGACACAGTTCCTATCACTGTCACTGCTTTGTAATAAAGGAATGGGACTATTGTTGGTTTAAGAACTATTTATTGCTTAGATAAACATCAGTCTCAGAGATTTTAAAGGAGTAAGCAGTTGGTCATAGTTTAAAGTAGTTGCAAGTTCTTTGTTAGAAGGCAATATATAAGTTTCTAATCTAATAGACAGTTGCTACAAGATTTATTTTGCTTTTCTAACTTATCACTTGTATCCCCTTCTATTGCACTGTGGATATATTTACCTAATAGGCTATTATCACACCTATACACATCTGCTTCTATTACAGCTTTTAAACTCTCAGCTTACTCTATACAATCACATTACTATTCTATAGACTCTTTACCATCATACCCAACACAGTTTCTTATTTACTTGAGGTATATTCTTATTTACAACTATAGAAACATAAGTTTATGATTTTTCTACTTAATGTCTGTGTACTTTATTTGTACATCAATCCAAGCTCCTTCCAAGTGCAGATCAAACCCTCCTGGCTCTGTGGAAGTTTCTATTTTTCCATTTCCCATAAGTTCCCAAACACATTTCAGCATGTGCTGAAATAGTTACCAGTCAAGACAAGGTATCTGGAATCCCAGTTAATCAGCCAGGCAAACTCCTGAAAATAGCTGATAGAAAATAGCTGCTAACCAAGCACCTGCAGGGACTGTGCTGGCAGGGGCAGGGCAGCTCCTGCACACACAGTTCATTAAAAGGAATTGCATCCCACATAACCAGAGGTGGATTTAGAACGCTAGACAGTGCCCAGCTTCTGAGATCCTGACTTTGCCAACTTACAAATGCCCCCCAGCTCATGGATTCTTATAAAAAGTAAAAGCTGAGAAGAAAAAATATCCTACAGTCCAGCAGCGCTGATTTCTCACCCAGTTAATCAGCAGGATTTGGATGCTCTGACCCACAGCAAGTCCTCCAGCCAGGCTATAATGAGGAGCAGCAGAAAGCTGCTGGAGCTCTCCAGGACCTCCAGGACAAAGGGCTGCAGATGATTACCAGTTGTTTACTAGACAGCAAAGATAAATGCCTGATCAATGCCTCAGGATACTCATTTCCATCCCCAGCCTCTCCTCAAATCCTCTCCAGCCCTTGCCCATGTCCTTCCCTGTCATTCTCAGCACATCCTCCCAAACCACCTCCCACACCTGCCTCTAGCCCCCAGCTCTTCCCTAGCCTCCCTTGTCTCTGCTCCTCCTCAATAATCAAGGCCCAAAAGGCTGGTTTTGTTGGCAGCTTCCTGCCCTATCTGGAACAAAAGTTGCCTCCAGCCACCCAGCAGCTCCCAGCCTGAAAGGACTCACCGAAATATACATTTAATCTATTCCTTGTGCTTCCTCTAATGCAAATTCCCCCTTTGCAGACAGTATGAGTGCTCAGGCACCTGTCACCATCAAGTTGCTTTCCCCACGTGCTGAGCCCAAGCCCTCACTCAGCTCAGGCTGCATTTTAAAGCTACATTTGGATTTTTCTCCTCCTGTATCACCCACCCCAGGGCTCTGGCTCCAGCTTCCACCAGGCCTTGGGAACTGGGCTGCATATTCCCCAGTCCTGGATTAGCCTCAGCCAAAGGCTAATGGCCCATCCCACCCAGCTCCTCAGTGCCAGCACTGCTGTGCCTTTGTCACTGATTTGGGTCCTGTTACCCACCAGGCAAATGGGGGAGTTTTAACCCTTTCAGCCCTTTGGTCTGGTCTCTGTTCCTTGCCTTACCAGCACTGGAAGAGGGTGAGAGCACATCCTGCTCCAGAAACAACACCCAATAGCTGTTGAAGGTCTAGACAACTATTTTAGAGGATTAAAAGCAAGATTCCAACCTGGCCAGCAAATATTTAAAGGTTTTAAACACCTGTTTCACAGCTAGTTTGACATTAATAGGGGTGGCAGTGTGGGGGTCCTGCCATTTCAAGAAGCAGCTAGTTCACTTCCACACAAAGCAGGCTCTTGGTGCCAGTTTTCCTAAGATCAGCACACACTGAGGACAAGCTCTGCCATGCCCTGCTTTGCCTTCTGTGCTGGGCTTGGGCTAGCCTCACAGGGCTGCCTCCTTCTCCTCCTCCTCCTCCTCACTGCCAGAGGGCTTTGGCAGCACCAGAGGCACATTTCATCCCAAAGCAGCAGGATCCATGAAGCAGGCAGAGCTCAGCAGGAGATGAGAAGGAAATCCCAGCTCTATAATAGACCTGGCCCATGGCAGTGGCAGCCAGGGGTCTCTGCTCCTCCTCCTGCTCACCCAGGGTCCCTGGGCCCAGCTGCTCTGCAGAGGCTCCTTGGGCCACCTCCCACCCTGCTGTGGCTGGGAGCTCTTCCCAAAGGGAAATGGGCAGGGTAAGGTGCTGCTCGTGGTGGTTGGGAGCTCTTCCCAAAGGGAAATGGGCAGGGTAAGGTGCTGCTCCTGGTGGTTTTGGCCAAGCTTCTCAGGTCCCTCATCCCTGTGACCCCAGCACATCAAACTGCACCAACACCCTCAGGGATGACAGAATGGCCAGCTCACAGCTGGCCATGGTGGCCCACACCCTGGGGGCACAATGTGGGCCAGGGAAAACCTCTTAAAAACCCTGCTCTGAGCTCCAGTCCATGTTCTGCCTCAGCTGAGAGGCCACGGAGCCCTGCAGAGCCTTGGACTCTTCAGGGGATGTTGGAATCCATCTGCTCCTGCCTGCTTTAACAGGAAAATCCAACAGGATCCAGCACTGTGATCCTGCTCCCACAGAGATGCTGCAGGACCCCAAGCACTCAGGAGATTTTTGCTTTGGCCAACGTTTGTTTCAAATGAAAGCCACACCTTCCACAAATGATTGGAAACCAGGTGGGAAATCTCCAAAGCCCAACTCTGGGAATAGGCAGAACTGCTTCAGATTAATGTTCATGAGGAGAACTTTATTTCCTTCACACCCCACGTATCCAGATATAAAACTTCCAGGGGAAATTTCGGGAAGTATCTTCCTGTGTGGTGAGGAGACAGCCAATGCTTTTGGGCTCCATGAGCTCAGGTGAGCTGGGGAGGTCACAAATTCTAAACCACCGAAAATTAAATTCTAAAACCTGTCAGGCTCAAATAAAAATCCTTGCAGAGGTGCTGAAGAGCTTGTTACAAGCCAAGATCACAGCAGTGGAGTTTAGCATTTCCCCTACAACTGCATTAACAATAGGTCAGAAAGGGAGGAAATCACTTCCAGCTCCTGTTTTGTAATATTTTCATTTGTCACTCTGAATCTTCTCTGGGCTTTCAACCCTGGGCATGGTTTGTGAGCTGGTGTGGGCTGCTCAGGCTTGTCACCTGCACCAGGGCCAAGGCAGAGAGCTCAGACCTGCCTCTAGACTTCCCTACAGCCTCCCAGAGATGCTGAGAGGGACAACAAAGGACTGAGTGGGACAGACCTGTACAGGGACCCAAAACCAGACTGGAACAATTAGAGTTCTTAGATCTAATGCCCACAGAGCAAACACCTTTATATTTCTATATTATTTAAAATTATTATTATTATTTTCTTTCTTTCTTTCTTTCTTTCTTTCTTTCTTTCTTTCTTTCTTTCTTTCTTTCTTATGTCTTTATTTTCTATTTATTCTTTTATTACTATTATTATTCTTTATATTTCTATATTATTATTATTATTATATTTCTTTGCATACTAGGAAATTCACATATTAATGTGAGGTTTCTCAAAATTGTGGAATCACAGAATGTCCTGAGCTGGAAGGGACCCACAGGATCATCCAGTCCAACTCCTGGCCCTGCACAGACACCCCAACAACCCCACCCTGGGCATCCCTGAGAGCACTGTCCAAAATACAGAAAGAAACTGGGTTTGTTGAGCTGGGATCCTGCTGCAGGCAGTGATGCAAGAAGATAACAAAAGTGTCACAGATACTTCCCATAATATTTAGTCAAAAAATCCCTGTGCTCCCCTTAATCCCTGTAAGTCCATCCCTTACTTCTCTGTAGGATGTCAGCACATGCAGGGCTCAGAGGGATGAGAAGAGCAAAGCTGTGCCAGGAAAGCACTCCTGCCCCTGGGACAGGGTTTTGTACCAGAAACCTCCCAGAGGCTGAGGACAGAGTGACAGAGCAGGGCCACACTCGCCTCCAGAGGGGCGTGTGCAGGGCAGTGACAAAGTGACAAATTCCTGCAGGACACCTTCCTCTGCTCCTAAAAAATGGAGCCAGCTCCAGGCAGGTAGGAGGAGATAGATTGATGGTCAAAGTTCAGAAGAGACTGTCGCAGGAGCTTGATAAATACAACCCATCAGAGCATCAGTGGCATGGGAATGAAGGATGTAAAATAACTGAGTGAAACTCAGCCACCTCAAATGCAGCTGGAGAACTTTATGCAACTCCTGCACTCTGTTTTCCATCAGCTGGATTTCCCTCCCAGTGTGCCCAGCAGAGGAAGCAGAGCAGCTTTCTCAGATATTTCACTTATCCCCTTCTCAGCCCCTTTTCAAGCATTATCTGCCCTCCTGCTCTGCCTAAGGAGCAAGATGGGCAAATTACTTTGCACTTCTTTCTGTTTCCCCCCAATAAACCTCACTGGGAAAGGTCCCCTGTGCCCAAAATGGTCCTCAGTGCTCAGAGACAGTGCCCATTGTTCATTGTATGAATCTCAGCTGAGCCCTGTCACAATACGACATGAAATGAACGACACTTGCACTCTGAGATGTCTAAGGCAAAAAGGGGCAGTTTATTTCTGAACTCCGATATTTACAGAATTCTAAAAGTGACCATAGATTGGAGGATGAAATTGCTACTTCTCCAACTACACTGGTCAAACCAACAATCCATCAATTCCTCCTCCAGAAAGGAATGCAAAACAATCATTATTTACATGAAAAGTGCATGAGAAACTCCATTACCAGAAGAAGCCAGAGGGCCAGAAGGCTCTTCTAAGCCTTCTTAGAAGGCTTAGAACTTTAGAAAAACAAAGCGACAGAGCCCCATAATTAACAGTGTCCCATGTGGAAATGCTTTCCATCTGTCACCTCTGCACACCCTGAGAGATCCCAGCAAGAAGAGGAGTGGCAGAAATTATGGAACAGTTTGAGTTGGAGGGACCTCAAAGCCCATCCAGTGCCACCCCTGCCATGGCAGGGACACCTTCCACTGTCCTAGGGTTCCCCAAGCCCTGTCCAGCCTGGCCTTGGGCACTTCCAGGGATCCAGGGGCACCCACAGCTGCTCTGGGCATTCTGTGCCAGGGCCTGCCCACCCTCACTGCTAGAAGGATTCATTCCCAGCAGCTCATCTATATCTCTCCTCTTGCAGTTTAAACCTTTCCTCCTTCTCCTGTCTGCCTGTATAAATGTGTTCAGGCAGTTTTCTTCTGAGGGGACACTCAGGACCATCCAGCCTACATATTCTCCTCCCTGAGGACAAAGGTGGCTCTTTGTCCCAGGGCTCCATTACCTACAACACTCCCGACTTTGCTGTCCCTGAAGCTTGCCGGCTCACCTGAGCAGGCACTTCCTGCACCTTTTTTTGCAGAAAACGGTGTTGTCACTTCTCAGGTGAGGCCCAGTGGAATCCCTGACCGTGGGGGCAAAGAAACCTCCCCCACCCAAATGCAGGCACCTGGGGACACTCAGCAGGAGCAGCAGCCATGCAGCCAGAGTGGCCCAGAGGAGCCCTGGCCGGCTCAGTGCTGCACAGCACGGCAGGAAAACCCCACGGACACTGCCCAGTCTGGCCAGTGGGGAAAGAAGCCTTCCTCCTCCCAGTGCAGGCCACAAGGACACCTCTGGGGTGTGTGAACAGGCAGCAGCCTGGCCAGAAGGAGCAGGTCGCCAACTGGGGATGCTCCATGCTGCAGAAGAAGCCAAAAGCCCCTGGGGGCCAGTGCCAGTCTGTCCCAGGGGAAAATCCCTTCCTGACCCCACAGCTGGGAGCAGCTGCTCCCCCAGCACTGAGCAGGACCTGCCTCCCCAACCCACAGACTGCTCACACTGCCCAGGAGGTGCCTAAGCCCTGCTGCCCCTCAGCCTAGAGGCATCTCAGGACCTTCCAAGTGGCAAAATCCCCCCAGTGTGATCGACCTTGGGAGGAAGAATTCCCTCTGAGCCTGGTGGGCATGCTCTGAAGTGTCCCTTGCACATCTCATTTCTCCACAGCTCTGTGGGGGAGGATGGTGAGCTCCAGGGTGCTCCTCAGGACAGCATTCCCTTGTCACCATTGTGACCCAGCTGGAAAGGTCTGGCAGCCCCAGGCAGCCCCGGGGGTTGGGAGTGTCCTACTCACCCTGCCAGTCCTGCTTATGTCCTGTGGAGCTCGCAGTGTCCCCTGGAGGGTGACAGGACCAGCCCTGGAGGGGCCTAAAGCTGGCCCTGCCAGGAGCTGCCTTCCAGCAGAGCCCTCATCCAGCCTCCAGCTCCTCCACGTCATTCCACGGGCTCCTCACACAACTCCTCTGCCAGCCCTCAGGCCGGCTCTGCCTGAGGTGACGTTTTCAGGCTGCAGTGGAACTCAGGAGCAGATTCCTTTGCCATGTGTGACCTCCTGCCAGACACGGCCTCTGGCTGCTCCTGCAGGAACCAGCTCCTGAAGGGAGGGAGTGAAACCCCACTTTGTCCTGGAGCTGGGATGCTGCTGCAGCGTGGCAGGGGGGTAGAAATGTTGCAACCTTCTTCAAAGTGTCTCCTTCAGAAGCCACTCAGAGTAAGGCCACCAGAACAGCCATTTCAAGTCCATGCACACACACACCATAGGTAGCTCAGCAGAGGAAAGTGTGAAAAATGCGTACTATATGATTGGTTCTTTGCAAATATTAAAATGAATACTGCATGTGTTATGTTGGAAAGTTATGCTGCATTAATCTCTTTTAAGTAGTGTGGTAAATATAGTTTTTAGGCTATAGCCTATATAGTTTCTATATAAAATAGAAACTATGTGATGTAAGATACTTTTCTAACTAGCTTAAGGAATGGATAAGATAATCAAGAAATACTTGCACACAGATAACAGCAACAAGACACCAAAATCCCAAGAGAAGAATTATTGTCTCCTTATCAGGAAATACCAAACTCCTTCCACCTCCTTCCAGACTTTGAGAAGCCAACAAGATGAAGCGGGGGGGGGGGGGGGGGGGGAGTTGACAATAACCAGAGAACACCCTTTGTTTGAAAAGAATTTTTGCATCATGTATGAGATATATGAATATGCAACAGGCTATTGCTTTTAAGGGTTAATCCTTTGTTAGCAGGTGTGCTTTCGGGGCTTGATTGCCCAGGAAGCTTCCAGACAGTCTGTATTTCTTTGTTTTTTATTGTCCTCTATTGTTCTAAGTCTGATTGTCCAAATTCTTATTGCTCTAATTTTTATTACTATTTTTATAACCACTTTATTACTATTAAACTTTTAAAATTTTAAAACAAGTGATTGGTGTTTTTCACAAAAGACAGGAAGGGTCTCTGTATGATGTATTCCAACAAAGGTTTATTCCAAAGCACGCTGAAGGGATCAGGGAAAAAGACCAAACCATGGGGTGTGCACAGACTCGAGTATGGGGTCAGTGACCAATGACCTGAGGACAAAGGGCAGGGCTGTTGCAATGGGACACGAGATGAACAACACACACACGTTGACATGTCCAGGGCAAAAAAGGGCAACATTTATTTCTGGACCTCGGAATTTATAGAATTCCAAAAGTGACCATGTATTGGACAATGAAATTGCCACCTCTCCAGTGACACTGGTCAAACCAACAGTCCATCAATTCTCTCCTCCCCCAAAAGGAATGCAAAACAATCATTATTTACATGGAAAGTGCGTGAGAACTCCATTACAAAAATGTAAACATCAGAAGGCTTAGAAAAACATTAGAAGAACAGGGCAACACAGGGCAAAGGGCAGCAACCTGTAGGGACAATGAGGGATGAATAACTGGGGGGGGCAGTGTCAGCTGGCCCATTGGGAGACAATCCAATGTGGATTGGCAGCAGTGCTGCAGAGCACTGTGGGCTGAGTCCTCTCTTTAGCCTAGGTGGGGAAAACTCCGTGGTACATGTCCCAGGTTACAATATAAAGATGTATTCTATTCCCATCCTCAAGAGCTGCCGAAACCAAGAGGGGCATTGTTTTTTTCCTTATCTCCTGTTAATGGGCCCATCAATGCCTTGCCCATGACTCAGAGATAACTCCCTCCAGGAGTCCTTTCTGTTTAATGGACCCATGGGTGACTCAGAGAACGATATCAGCCCATTGTGAGATGCTCTGCCCAGGGGAGAGGAGCTCAGCATCCTCACCTGGATATAATCTGGGAGTTGGGACAGAACAAGCTGCCCTTACCCACTGGTTTTCCAGAGGACAAGAGCTACCAGATCATTCCTCCAGGATGACCACTTCAACGAGACCATTTCATCTGGACTGCTACCACCACCCTAACTAGCAGGGTGTCAGGTTGTATTCTGACTCCGTCAGTGATTTTTCTTTTGTATTATTGCAAGTATTTGGGGATTTTTTCCCTTTTCCTAATAAATTGTATTTCTGACTTGGAGTCTCACTGGTTTTGCTTTCAAACCAGACCATACATTATCTTCCAAGGCAAGGTCCTGGAGATTTCCCTGAGGGGGAAGGATTCAGAGGATCCAACAGGATGCCTCTGGTGTGAGCAGCACAACGGGAGCTCCTGCTGCCGCAGTGACATTTCCACCCCCACCCTGCAGGGACTGGGGAGCTGAGTCTGCTCCCAGCCCTGGACAGGTGAACCTGCTCCAAGCCATTGATTTCATGGGAGATCAATGTGCTGAAAATGGAACTATCAGTTTCTGCACAGGGTGACACACAGTGGCATTTAAGGCAGAGCTAAGTGGAATTGCTCCTGTTGCATGGCACAGAATACTAACAGGAATTGATTTCACCCTCTGGAGGCCTGGCTTTGTTTATTCAGTGGCCAAGGGGGGTTTTGGTGGTTGTCCTCTATTTTAAATGCTTTGCCTAATCCCATGTTTGAAGCAGATGAGAGGGAGAATCAGGATGCCTTGTGTAAATCGAGCCAAGTTTGCAGATGAGGAAGAATTCAGCTCCAAAGACAGAGTTAGAAGCTGGAGTCCAAAGCAACTTCTCCCTTTTCTCTCTCCCTCTGGCAGCTCAGTGCTGTCTCAGAAGTCAGAGCTGCTCCAGTGGGATGCACACAGCAGAGGACAGCTTTGGTTTACCCAGTCCCAGGGAACACATGCTCTAAACAGGCTGCTCATAAAGGCACCGGCCTGGCCCTGTGTCCTGAGAACTGCTGGCCTCTCCAGGCTCCTTGTTCCAAGTGGCACTTTCATCCTTGCTGAGAATCTTCCTTCCAGGATGCTGCAGGCAGGGTCTGACAGGCAAAGCCCATATAAAACCTGTCTGAGAGGGATCCTTTGACTCTCTATCAGGGAGTAGGATAAACATGTTCACAAAATGAGCAAACCATGGGCAGTGCTGGCTCAGAGCACGAGGAGTGAGCCAGGAGCTCCTCAGCTTTCTCATCTCTGGGTCAGCAAGGGCTGGAGCCCCCAGAGCTCCTCCTGAGCACTGCTCACAGCCCACGGGGCATCCTAAAGGATATTGCAGGATTCACCTGAGTTAAAACCCTACAAATCCAATCCAGTGCCCACTGGGATTGGTGGAGGAGCTCCCAGTGAGTCTCCAGACTGTTTGCTGGCTGCAGATCATTTCCAGAGTGCTCAGCCATGATTCACAGAAGGAAGGGACCTTAAAGCCCATCCCAGCCCGCCCCTACCATGGACAGGGACACCTTCCACTGTCCCAGGCTGCTCCAAGCCCTGTCCAGCCTGGCCTTGGACACTTCCAGGGATCCAGGGGCAGCCCCAGCTGCTCTGGGCACCCTGTGCCAGGGTTCTACTACCCTCACAGAAAAAATTACTTCCCAATATCCAACATAAATTTCCCCATTTTCAGGTGCCAGACTCCCATTTTGTTGTGGAGATGACACATTTAGGTCACAGCTGAAGCACACAGAGTCCAGGTGGAAATTCATACTGCTGCTGTTATCCTGGTAACCAAAACTTGTAACTCCAGCCTCACAGGAAGGGGGGAGATGTGTCTTGGAATATTTTTCTTTTTGCCTCATCTGATAATGATTTGCTCATCCTTTTGTTCAGAGAGCATTCATTAAACAGGGAATGGGACAGGCAGCAGCACTCCAGGCCAAATTCCAGGGGGAATTCATGTCAGGACAGTTTGTCTTTCCCACATCCCATCCTGCACTCTCTCTGTGTCTTACCTGCAGCAGCTGTCAGGCCCAGCACTACCTGGGCTCAGCTGAAAGGAGGTTTAGGCACAGCTTTATCTCCAGAGCTGGGCAGTGCTGGATCTCACTGGATAGATGTGATTATGTGCATATATGATATGTGCATACCTGTGACTCTGCACATCTCTTTCTGCTGTGCTGGAAGAGAGGAAAACACACAAGCAGGTTCATTGTGTGCATCCCCCAGGCTGGAGGCTCAGAAAAACCTGCAGCCACATGAGTTCCACTCATTCCAGCCTGCCCAGGATCCCGAGGAAGTCAGGCAGCAGGAAGGGTGAGAGCACATCTCTGCTGTGGGTCAGAATCACCCACTCCACTGGTCACATCCCCACAGGATGGGAGGCAATATGCCCCAATGTCCTGGGTTACAAGATGTGGCTGGGCTGTGCATTCTGTGCCCATCTGTCAGAGCTGGGGCAGCTCTCTGCTGTTCACTGGGCAGTTTTCTTGATCTCTCCCACAGCCAATCCTCCCTCCAGGAGATCTCTGCTGTTCATGGCCAGGGAGTGTCCCTGCAGGGCTGATTAAATTCCCTCATCCCATGGGAGATGCTCCGGCCAGGGCAGGAGCCAAGCATTCCTACCTGGATACAATCTGAGCCTGGAACAGCACAGCAGCCTTTGCCCACTGCATTCCCAGAGGAGCAGCTTTCTCCTGCCCTGCATTGCCAGAGGAAGAGCAGGCCCATCTCCAGCAGCCCTGGAGCTGCAGAGGAAAACTGCAGCCTTGTGCAGGATCCCTGCTCCAGCAGAAGCACAGCTGGCACTGCAGGAGGGCTGAGCCCCCATGGGATGGGACTGTGCCACCACCCTGACACACAGGGGACAGGGCCTGCTCTGACTCTGGCAGTGGGTTGTTTTGCATTACTGTATTGTTTATTTTATTTTTATTTTCTTCCCTAATAAAGAACTGTTATTCCTACTCCCATATCTTTGCCTGAGAGCCCCTTAATTTCAAAATTATAACAATTCAGAGGGAGGGGGTTTGCATTTTCCATTTCAGGGGAGGCTCCTGCCTTCCTTAGCAGACACCTGTCCTTTCAAGCCAAGACACCCAGTGACCTTGCTGAGCATTTTCCACAGACTCTGCTGTGCTGACTCTGCTGCTGTCGAGTCTTTCCACAGCTCAGCTCTGCAAAAGTAGAGAGACATCAGTGTCAGTGCTGAAAAATT